CTGCCGTCCCACCTGCTGGGTCGGGCTCCTGCCCCCTCCTGCGGAGCACCGCCGGTCAGGTCGCAGAGTAGTGCTTGGTTTACTGAAACTGGGGGAAAAACTGTGAGAGGTTCGTGGGGCTGATCTCAGCCATGTGGAGAGTGGTCCGATGGTGGGAGCGTAAAGCTCCCTGTGTTCAGGTATTTGCGGAACGTGCCAGTGTTAGTTGTCTCTGCGATTGTACGTCTCATTTTTTTTCCCAATTCAAGGCCACAACTGCATAGATAAATATATGCATTAAAGCAGATAGGGTTGAAATTTTGTATTTATTCAGCTGCAGCAGGAGAGAGGCCGTCTGTGGTGAACTTCGTCACAGCCCTGTCCGAAGCACCTGTTCTTGGGTGCCTGCAAGTACTGAAGACTCTGGTTTAATTACAGAGAAAAGATTTACATGTTTCCTTGGAAAGATCAGAAGCAGAGCTGAGAAATTCCCCAGCTTTTGCCCATTCATTTTTACAAGACAGCACATGATTTCTAAAACAACCCCCATCATTTTGGCAGGATGAGTCACAACTTCTGAGCTCATAAGCCGGACAGCAATGCTGTCCTCAGCAGACTATTTAAACTGCTTTTATCAAAGGCCCAGGGCTGCAGATTTGGAGAGGCATAAACAGATACTTCATCGTCTTTGTGTGTTTGAGGGGATGTCAGGAGCATCCATGAGCCTTTCCCAGCCAAGGTCCCCCTGCGTGTGTGGGAAGGAGGTGCCCACGGAGCTGTCGCAAGGCTCCACACTGCAGGTGACGGGGAGGTGGACCGCGTATGCCAGCCTCTACCGTGCAGAAGAGAAGCATGTCGTCTTCTAATTATGGCCTGTATCGTGATGCAGATGCACAAGGGGGCAGAGTTAACTTTGCCATTTCCCGACTCCAGAGAGCCGGAGAGAGGCTACGGCTGTAGCGAGCCCCTCGCATTGCGTCTCTTACCAGCTCGCGCCGTTTCCCAGTAGCTGTTGCAAGGTGTGTGCCCACTGCTGTATCTCCCTGCCAACATCTCCTGGAGCTGCAGCCTGTGCCACACTCGTCCGGTGGTCCCGGCTTCCTTCAGCCGGTGAGAGACACAGGGTGGATTCGCCCCTCCGGCTTCCAGCTGCAGTGAGTGCTTGGTGTAATTCATTACCCGGTTTTGTTCTCCTCACTCTTGACATTTTTTTAGCAGATGTCACCAGTCTTTAACCCAGTGGGGAGCTTGCTGGGTAGCAACAGGGGCAAACCAAATCAGACAGTCTTTATTGGTTTATATAGCTGAAGGTGTCATTTTTTTCCCTGTTGTAGCATGGACTTGGAGCAGATGTTCCTTGGTGGGGGATCAGTTGCTTTCACTTGTGGTTACAGGACATGCTACTGGAGACTGACACAGGAGCAGGCTGCTCCGTATCGAGGCGGAGATGCGGTCTCTGGGCAGCACCTTTCCATTTCGCCCGCAGATTGCCTCTCCGAGCCTCGTGGCTGTGCGTTGCCTGGCCCTGCAGCTCAGCCAAGGGCTGGAGCGGCGCAGATGG